ATGAAAACATCATGATGAATTTATACCACACTCACAGAAGAATTTATCCACTGCAATCCCAACCATAATCAGTATTTACTAAGTGAAAGACAGCAGTGAGCATTTCATCCATATACAAGAACAAACCCCATGGAAATTACACCCCTCACAATCATTGGCTCTCTGGCCATTCAAAGGTAAACCACATATAAAATTAATTCACGGAAACATAGTTCAGTCGCATCAGAGTTCAGTTTTTTCTCAATTAACCAACATAACGTTACTGGAAGCATCAGCTGGAATCTGAATGTTAAACAGTTCGTTCAATGTATGTGTGTGCGTGTGATAGTGTGTGTGTGTGTGTGTGTGTGTGGGTGTGTCTGGGTGTCCAGCGGCCTCTATGCAAGGAATGTATGTGCAGTTCATTCAAAGCGTAGGAGTGGTATGGATAATGTCAACAGCTGAAACCCATCGCTTTAACGCGTTAACAACAAGGACAACTTTGGATTTTAATAATGCATTCAAGAGTTCACACTTAGCTGTTGATTTATAAAATCTTGTTTGGCATGCTGTCCCGGGAGAGAGCGAACGAAGATAAAGTGAACTGAAAACTGTGGCTATTTATAGTAGCTTAGGGCTCATATGATTGGAAGATAGTGATTAGCAAATGCAAGACCGGCCGTGATAAATCATAAAGCACGTGATTCTCTTGAAATTAGTTTATGAATAAACTTCACTTAGTTCATGTTAAACTATTATTAATACAAGCTTTACAAGATAATTCACACTTAGTTAATGTTATTAAATACATTAACTAATGGAGCATTATTATATAGTGTTGTTACTATACAACCAGATTGTAAAGTGTACCAATTTTATCTGGTCTCCTCTGTAGTTTTTCATCCAGTGGAGTGTTCATACTGCCACAGCCAGAGTATGATGGGATTTCGCTACCGATGCCAGCAGTGTGATAATTACCAGCTCTGCCAGGAGTGTTTCTGGAGAGGCCACGCATCGGGCAGCCACAGTAACCAGCACCAGATGAAGGAGTACATGTCATGGGTAGGTGAACGTCAGAGCCTCGTCATACAGACTACTCACAGTCCAATCACTTCTTACAGAATGTCATGACACATGTTTGTGTGTGTCATATTGGCAGCTTCTTTAGATTTTTTTTTCTTTTTAGCTGAGTTTACTTAGAGTTGATAGCAAATTTATGGACCATTTTCACGTTTACGGGTTTGTTAGTAGAGTAAGTCATCATAGTCAGATAAACATAGAGCGCAGTAAATTTTATTCAATGAAGTTTATTCCCCACTTCATTTAAGCAGGCTAGGGTAACCCAACTGCTAAAGAAACCCAACCTGGACCATACGCTACTTGAAAACTACAGACCAGTATCCCTGCTTCCATTCATGGCCAAGATTCTGGAGAAAGTAGTGTTCAATCAAGTCCTGGACTTTCTTACTCAAAACAATCTCATGGACAACAAGCAATCCGGCTTTAAGAAAGGCCACTCAACTGAGACTGCCCTGCTCTCGGTCGTGGAGGATCTCAGACTGGCTAAAGCAGACTCTAAATCATCAGTCCTCATTTTGCTGGACTTGTCAGCTGCTTTTGACACTGTCAACCACCAGATCCTGCTATCTATGCTCGAGTCACTGGGCGTTGCGGGCACTGTTATACAATGGTTCAGATCTTACCTCACTGACAGGTCATTCAGGGTGTCTTGGAGGGGAGAGGTGTCCAACCTACAGCATCTAAACACTGGGGTACCTCAAGGCTCTGTTCTTGGGCCGCTTCTCTTCTCCATCTACACATCATCTCTAGGACCAGTCATCCAGAGACATGGATTCTCCTACCACTGCTATGCAGATGATACCCAGCTATACCTCTCTTTTCATCCTGATGATCCCTCGGTTCCAGCTCGCATCTCAGCCTGCCTGTTGGATATTTCACACTGGATGAAAGATCATCATCTTCTAGACCACATTTCTAGAACTGCTCGATCGTGCAGATTCGCACTCTATAACATCAGAAAGATCCGACCCTTCTTATCTGAACATGCAGCTCAACTCCTTGTTCAAGCTCTTGTTCTCTCCAAACTGGATTACTGCAACTCTCTACTAGCTGGCCTTCCAGCTAACTCTATCAAGCCTCTTCAACTGCTCCAGAATGCAGCAGCACGAGTGGTCTTCAATGAACCTAAACGAGCACATGTCACTCCGCTGCTAGTCTGTTTGCACTGGCTGCCAGTTGCTGCTCGCATCAAATTCAAAGCTCTGATGTTTGCCTACAAAGTGACTTCTGGCCTTGCTCCTTCTTATCTGCTCTCACTTCTGCAGATCTATGTGCCCTCCAGAAACTTGCGTTCTGTGAATGAACGTCGCCTCGTGGTTCCATCCTAAAAAGGGAAGAAATCACTTTCCCGAACGCTCACGCTCAATCTGCCCAGTTGGTGGAATGAACTCCCTAACTGCATCAGAACAGCAGAGTCACTCGCTACTTTCAAGAAACGACTAAAAACTCAACTATTTAGTCTCCACTTCCCTTCCTAATCTGCAATTGCCTCTCTGGATATCACACTAACTGTACCCAAAAAAAAAAAAAAAAAAACTAATACTACTAATACTTCCCTTCTTAGGCACTTATTCATTGTTGCTCTTAGTTGTGTAAATTGCTTCCTTGTCCACATTTGTAAGTCGCTTTGGATAAAAGCGTCTGCTAAATGACTAAATATAAATGTAAATGTAAATGGGAGAGTACAACAAATGTTTTTTTATAATATTATTTGCTCAAATAAAAAGAGAATTAATATCAAATGAGACATGCAAAATTGCAAATACTTCTTACTGAGGTAATACTTCTAATATTTAAAGTTTAATAAAAATAAAAAAATCTGTCGCCATCTACTCACCCTTCACTTATTTCAGAGTTTCTTCATAGGCTCATTCTTAAAAAGGTAGCCCTGTATTTATTTCTGATGATTGCGAATTATGTAGCCAGAGGTACGTATGGCTGCATTTCATCTTTAAAAACATATTTACTAACATAACCTGTATAAGGAGGTTTCTTTTCGCTATAAGGTGGTTCCTTTTCGCACTTAAATGCTGTCCGGGTCAATTGGTGCTTTTAAAAACACTATTGGTTGGGTTTAAGGAAGGGAAAGGATGGGTCCGTCGATCCGTCAATCAGTCGATAGCGGCCTCTGTTGGATTTACGTGAGAAAAGCAGGCGCGAATGGCACTCGTGCAAGAAATTTGAGATCTGAAAAAGCATACACAGCGTCCTCTAGTGGATTCATGAAAACAAATACTGCAAGAATGTAGCTCCTATTTGGAGCTTTCCAGAAATGTATATAGAGGTACGTTTTCAGAATGAGCCTGGGTTGGTTTCTTCTGTTAAACACAAAGGCAAATGCAGCTGAAAGCAGAAGTTTACATACACTCTAAAAAAAGAAACATAACCATTTAAAAAAAAATGTCTGATGGTAAATCAAACTAAACGTTTACTATTTTAGGTCTGTCAGGATTACCTAAATGATTTACATTTGCTTAATGCCAGAATAATGAGAGAATTTCCTTGGTATTTTTTTAGCTTTGCTTTTAAACTGTGGACCTTTGGTCAAATGTTTTGGGTATCCTTCCACAAGCTTCTCCCAATAGTTTGAAGGAATTTTGGCCCATTCCTCTTGACAGAATTGGTGTAACTGAGTCAGATTTGTAGGCTTGTCTTGCTCGCACAAGCTTTTTCAACTCTGCCCATAAACTTTCTATAGTATTAAGATCAGGGCTTTGGGATGGCCACTCCAAAACATTCACTCTGTTGTCCTTAAAGCACATTTTAACTAATTTGGCAGTATGCTTAGGGTCATGGTCTGTTTGGAAGACCCATTTGTGGCCAAGTTTTAATTTCCTGGCAGATGTCTTGAGATGTTGCTTCAGTATTTCTACATAATGTTCTTTCTTCATGATGCCATCTATGCTGTGAAGTGAACCAGTCCCTCCTGCAGCAAAACAGCCCCCCAACATGATGCTGCCGCCCCCATACTTTACAGTTGGGTTGGTGTTCCTAGGCTTGTAAGCTTTCCCCTTTTTCCTGCAAATGTAACACTGGTCATTATGGCTAAACAGTTCAATTTTAGTTCTATCAGACCACAGGACATGTCTCCAAACATTAGTCTTTTTCCCAGAGTAATTTAGCAAATTGTAATCTGGCTTTGTTGTTGATTCTGGCTTGTTGATTTTTCCATGTTGTCACACAAGGAAGCAGTAAGTTTAAGGTTTTCCTTAAATACTATTGTAGAGTTGTGCCTCCAATTAACTCAAATGTTGTCAATTAGCCAATTAACCCCCCCCCCCCCCAATCATTAGCCCCCCTGAACTATAGCGTGTATTTTTTTCTCAATTTCTGTTTAACGGAGGGAAGATTTATTCAACAAATTTCTAAATATAATAGTTTTAATAACTCATTTCTAATAACTGATTTATTTTATCTTTGTCATGATGACAGTAAATAATATTTTACTTTGATATTTTTCAAGACACTTCTATACAGCTTAAAGTGACATTTAAAGGCTTAACTAGGTTAATTAAGTTAAGCTAGGGCAATTAGTTAAGTCATTGTATAACAGTGGTTTGTTTGTTCTGTTGACAGTCGCAAATACAGCTTAAGGGGGCTAATAATATTATTAACCTTGAAATGGTTTTAAAAAATTAAAAAACTTTTTTTCTCTAGCTGAAATAAAACAAATAAGACTTTATCCAGAGGAAAAAATATTATCAGACATACTGTGGAAAGATTTCTTGCTCTATTGAACATCATTTTTGAAAAAAAAAAAAAAAAAAAAAGTAAATAATTCACAGGAAGGCGAATAATTCTGACTTTAACTGTATATTAAAAATGAATTTTATTATTAATTATTTAATGTTTTCTATAAAACAACTCTATTAAAAACATGCAAATGTGTTCTTGTTCTTTATTCTTCTGCTTGTTTTCTGTCATGTGTTTTTGTGCAGAAATCTCCAGCTAAGAAGCTGTCGGACGCTCTCAGTAAATCTCTGAGCTGTGCGGCGAGTCGAGAGCCTGCGTATCCACAGTTCTCGGATACACCTGAGAAAACACTCAACCTCAATCACATTGTGTACGTGAACTCCAACATCCAACACAGAAAAAAAATCACCAGCCTTATTACTTTACAATGAATGTGACATAAACTGTGCAATCTAACATTTCCCTCCTTTTTTTTCACTTTTTTTCTGCAAAACAGGGGCACATGGTGAGTAATGTGAAATGCAGAGTCAGATATCATCATATATTTCAGCATTCATTTGATGTGTAAAACTATTTTTAGACGACTTTATGTGTGTGTGTTTGCTGAAGGCCGCCCAGACCTGTGGCCACTGGAAATGAGTACATGCTTTCTCACTCCATGCCTTCCTCAGGAAACCCTTACTCCAGCAAAGCGTGAGTTTAACACTGCACAATAATTAGTGTTTACATGCCTAGTTCAGAGCATTCAAGCCTCACATCAGCTCATGAAGACATTCTTTCCTTTTTAAATAGGGTTAATAATGCTTTTTTAATTTAAAATGTCATTCTGTGTACTTGTGTTGATACTGTATACATTCACCGGCCACTTTATTAGGTACACCTGTCAACCGTTTGTTAAAACAAATTTCTAATCAGCCAATCACATGGCAGCAACTCAAAGCATTTAGGCATGTAGACACGGTCAAGACGATCTGCTGCAGTTTAAATCGAGCATCAGAATGGGGAAGAGCACGGCAATGAGTTCACTGTACTCAAATGGCCTCCACAGTCACCAGAATTCAATCTAATAGAGCACCTTTGGGATGTGGTGGAATGGGAGATTCACATCATGGATGTGCAGCTGACAAATCTGCAGCAACTGCATGATGCTATTATGTCCATATGGAGCAAAATCTCTGAGGAATATTTCCAGTACCTTGTTGAATCTGCCACGAAGGATTAAGGCAGTTCTGAAAGGAAAAGGGAGTCCAATCCGATACTAGTAAGCTGTACCTAATAAAGTGGCCGGTGAGCGTATACAGTGGGTACGGAAAGTTCATTTTTTTCCTCATTAATGTACACACAGCACCCCATATTGACAGAAAAACACAGAATTGTTAACATTTTTGCAGATTTATTTAAAAAAAAGAAAAACTGAAATATTGAAATATTATATTCAAACCCTTTGCTTAGTATTTAGTAGAAGCACACTTTTGATCTAATACAGCCAATACAGAGTCTTTTTGGAAAAAAATGCAACTCTGCCTGGATTTGGTAATTATCGGCTATTCCTTCTTGCGAATCCTTTCCAGTTCTGTCAGGCTGGATGGGAAACATTAGTGCACAGTCATTTTTAGGTCTCCCCAGAGATTCTCAATTGGGTTTAAGTCAGGGCTCTGGCTGGATTTGAATATAACAAGGATTGAAAAATTGATGGGGGTCTGAATATTTTATTTGTACATAACATTTGCTGTTTGTTCAAACTATTTATTTAAAAAGAGCTGAAACAACACAATTCTTGAGTTTTTTTAAGGGTAACCTAAATGTTTTATGTTCAATTCTCTTAAATTTGTAAAAACTAATAAGTTAACAATTCCTTTATGTTGTCCCAACACAAATCGATTTTGTGAAATCCATAATTTTCTTACAGTGTTTGTACTGTATGTATCCTAAGCTCCTGAAAAAAGTCACCAAAAAAAAAAACTTCTTGTGTCTTTGCGCACACTTGGCCAGTAAAGCTCATTCTGATTCTGATTTAATGATATTTATTGGTTTAAAAGTGTTGTTGTTATTTAGGTAACACTAGTTTTGTAATTTGAAACAGTTATATAAATACTGTACACTGGAAATTATAATTATTTTCAAGAATTTGAATGGTTGAAAATGAGAATTAGTATACATAAAGTTGAAGACAAAATAGGTTTAATGAGTAAATTAAATTGTAATTACTTTTGAAATATTTCCCAAGCGCTGTTTAACCAACATTTCCTGCTCATTCTGAAAACATAGCCCTATACACATTTCTGGAGATAGCAAATTATGTAGCCAGAAGTACGTTTGGCTGCATTTCGTCTTTAAAGTGAAGGCTACGAGGCGGTATGACGTCGTTCCTTTTCACTCTTACCACTTGACTGCTTACCTCCATATTGACAGCTTTTCCAAAGTTACGCGATTGTCCAGTTAGCTTGCCGCGTACATCGGCGGACTTGAGATGCAGAGAGGAGTTGACCACAACAACGGGGTTCAAGTCCGGCAAAGAACAATTCCAGAAAGCCTGTAAGCCAAAAACAAAGGGCAAAAAAACAAATAAACAATTAAATAACAGGTTGAAAACATGGTAAGATCTGAAAATGTGGTAAAAATCAGGCGGCTGCAAGAAGTTTTTTTTTTCTGGATTAATTGGGTTTAGAAAAAGGGGTGGACGAGTCAATCTGTGCTTTTGAAACATTATCGGTTGGGTTTAGGAAAGGGGGTGGGTCGTTCAGTCAGTCAGTCGACAGTGGCCTCTGGTAGATTTACGCAAGAAGAGCAAGCGTGAATGAAACTTGGGAAATTTGAGATGTCAAAAAGCATACACAGCAGCCTCTGGTGGATTCATGAAAACAAAAACTGAAAAAAACGTAACTCCTGGTATGTATTTGGAGCTCTCCAGAAATGTATACAGGGATACGTATCCATAATAAGCCTAGGTTGTATAAAAACAGATTCAGATTTCTTTATGGTGTGTTTTAAACATTTTTATTAAGAATTGTGGCTCACTCTTTTCTCTTATTATTTCTTATTTTGGGTGTAAAAAGCAGTGCTCACGATGAGACAAATCAAATGAAGCTGTTTTCCCGGACCACTCCAGATCTTCTGAAAGGGAAAGGGTAAGTCAACCTGCATGAATGATCAATTACTCTCTGTTCAATGCATCATACGTGTATAGTAAGAGATAGATGCAAATAAAAACAAGGCTTTTAGGGGTTAAATGTTGCTCAAAGATGTTGCACTGCATTTGTACAGTCAATAAAGTATGCATAATCTTTTATCCATTGCACATTTGTAAAAGACATATTTTGTCAACATTGTCACATATTGGCATGTTAAATTGATCGTACTGTACATTCATCCCACATGACCCAATATATACTTTAAATGGAATTAAATGTTATAACTAAAGTGTATTTGCATTTCATATTAAAATGTATTCTGTGTTATTGTTATTAAAGCCATAGTTCACCCAAAAATGAACATTTAGCCACCAATTCCACAGTCTTCTGCTTGTTTCAAACTTGTGTGAACTCTTTGAACACGGATAACCATTGACTCCCAAAGTATTCTATTTTCTGAAGTCAATGGCTACAGCTTTCCAACATTCTCCAAAATATCTTCTGTTGTGTTTAACAGAAGAAAGAAGCTTTGTTTGAAAGAAGTGGAGGAGGAGTGAATGATTTCATTTTTTGATGAACTATCCCTTTAATGCAGGGGTCACCAAACTTGTTCCTGGAGGGCCGGTGTCCTTCAGATTTGTACTCCAACCCTAATCAAACACACCTGAACAAGCTAATCAAGCTCTTAGTAGGTGTACTTGAAACATCCAGGCAGGTGTGTTGAGGCAAGTTGGAGCTAAACCCTGCAGGGACACCGGCCCTCCAGGATCGAGATTGGTGACCCCTGCTTTAATGCGTTCAAATAATGCAGTACAATATTCTTAAACAAATAAGGATCCACTTTTAAATGAGCTTCAGCTTTTCTTCCTGAAGTGTTTGTTTCTGATACATGGTTTCAGGGTTCAGTACAGCCTCGATATTGCTGATAGGCTCGCAGATGAGCACATACTGATCGGACTTTATGTGAATCTTCTGCAGAAGGAGCGATCATGGTCAGTGTGAGCTGTCCGCCTGATGGTTGCTGTGTCGGTTTTCTTCCTAATCTCTTTTTTTAGAGCTCAAAAGTCACCATGTCAGTCTGGTAAACCCCAGAAAACCATAAAACAATTACAATGAAATAAAAATTACAGTGCAATTACAAATACAATACAAGTCTGCCCTTACGAAAAAGAAGTATACTTCAAGGTCATTTTAACTAGTATATTTCTAGTGTTATACTGCAAACAAACTCCTAATTTGCTGCTTATTAAAAGTTTATAACAGTAATCTCATACTTCTTGAAAGTACTTGAATTTCAGACATGAATTCAAGGCCTGGAAACAAACACAGGTCCTTAAAAGGGCTTGAATTTATAGTTTATGGTGTTATTTTAACAATTGTAGTGTGCTGCTTTCAAAAACGGAATTAAAAAACTAAGCAAATCTTCTTTTGAAAATCTTACGTTTAAATTGTATACAAAAACTATGACAAATAATGCACATTTGATCAATATTTCAGAAACCACTTTTGAATATTACCAGTATGATGGTAATATTGTCTAACGCGAGGAAAACTATGATAGTACCTGATGATGACATTACACGAGAACACGAGGACGCAAAACCGCTGAAGAACGCATATTGAGAAACAGCCCATGTCTACATGCCTAAATGCATTGAGTTGCTGCCATGTGATTGGCTGGTTAGAAATTTGAGTTAACAAGCAGTTAGACAGGTGTACCTAATAAAGTGGCCGGTGAGTGTGTTTGTTATATTTGTTTTTTTTTTTTTCACAAAAAATTTATATATAAAAAACTATGAAATCACATTGCTTGTGTGCACAAGATCATCTTAAGATCAGTGACTTTTTTAAAGATATGTCTCTGGAAGTTAGTTTCAGCAGTATGATCGAGCTAAGTTAAAGAGTTTAGATGCAAAAACCTCTAAATGCCACTTGATATTTTCATCTAAATTAGCATTTTTCTCCAACTCTTGTGTGTAGGCTCAATACTTTTACTTTTAGAGTGACAAAATAGTTATTTTCATTCCCTTTAAAGTGAATTAACTGGACATAAACATAGGAGGCTGAGAAAAATGCTCATTTTAGGAGAAAATTTCAGACTGCATTTAGAGGTTTTTGCATCTGAACTCTTCAATTACACTTAAACATACCTATTGTTTTGCATGGGGATCCATATTTGACACACCGGATGTGGGATGGTGACACATTGGGCTTATCATACACCCGGTGCAATGTGGCGCAAGGCGTGGCGCAATAGTCTTTTGGTAGTTTCAGCTTGGCGCAAGAGTCGTTTTGAGGCGTTGCGCTACGCTGTTTAAATAGCAAACGCATTAGCGCTCATATGTGCTCCCATAGGCGTTCTGGTGTAAAAAGGAAGGTGTTCTGAGGCGGACCGCTGGCGCGTCGCTATTTTGAGAAACTATAATAGATTTTTCATTAGACCAAAACAAACCCGGTCTAAACTCTGGCGCAGAGTTGCGCCTCGCTTACACACTGCTTAATACACACAAGAGAGCAATAGGCAAATATCTTTACATATGAAAAAAATTAAATATTAAGGATATATATATAGGATATAATAGGAAAAGATATAGGATATAAATCTGAAGGATTAAAATATTACAAAACATATTATTTTCTAGCCTACATAAATATGTAAAATCACTGCTTTTATGCCTTCTTCATCTCGGGAGGCTTTTTCAGTTCATTCATAACAATTTGCTTTTGTATAATGTTATTATTATTAGCAGTGTTATTTATTATATCCATATTTATATTTGTTTTATTAAAAACAAGCTTAGATTTGCCCACCTGTCAGGTTTTAGACCATATGGGGCACAGCATGTGTTTAGGATATAATTCAGTTTTTTGAGCACATTTTGCTATTATTATTCATTTATTCGTTTGCTGGAAATTAGAACTGAATTTAGAAATAGTTTTGAAACGAATATTTGCGCTTAACAAAAAAAATTATTTATTTATAGACTAATTGATGTCTGTGCGTAAAGGTTTCCCTATCCAAGAGCCAAAGTGAAAGTACATCCATTATCTCTCATTCTCACGCAGTAGATGCTCTGTTTAACAGTTTTCTTTTAAAAAACTGTCAACTGTTTGCTTGTGAAATGCTAATTTTTTCCACTTAGACTTACTTTGCGTCCTGTAAATAGCGAATGCGCTCTTGGCGTGACACAGCTGACTCTTAAAGGGAATGGGAGATGAGATTCTAATTGGTTTATTCTTAAATCACACCTATAACTCATTAAGAAAATAAACTCAACCCTTTTAGACCATGCGCCTATGCGCAAGGCAGATTTCCAATCCTTAAATTAGCAAAAACGGCTCCTGACATGCCCTGAAAGCATTTGCATTTTGCGCTCTGCGCATGGACCGTCAAAATAGAGCCCATTATGTTTGCAGCATGCTAACTGGCTAGGCTTAGGTTGGTGTGTATTTACTGTGTGTGTCAATCACTACACATTTCACTGCACTAGAGCTCAATAGTACAGAAGGGAAAATCACATGCATTTTCCCCATACAGATTTACTAATGTAATGTAGTGTAAGTATATGCCACTGTATCAAATGTTCTTGTTGTGTTAATTGCTGAAGGTTATAATATATTGTTAATAAATGGCCGGCATGGTGGCTCAGTGGTTAGCACTGTGGCCTCACAGCAAGAAGGTCACTGGTTACAGTCCTGGCTGGGCACTTCTGTGTGGAGTTTGCAAGTTTTCCTCGCGTTAGACATGCGATAGGTGAATTAGGTATAGTGTATGAGTGTGTGAATGTGATAGTGTTCGGGTTTGCAGCTGGAAGGGCATCCGTTGTGTAAAACATATGCCGGAATAGTTATATGCCTTAACTCTAACCCTAATATTGCAACCCAGTTCTGGGAAACACCCATACATTCTCACATTCACACACATCCAATTCACCTATAGCACATGTCTATGGGGAAAACCGGAGCAAGTCATTTTACTTGGCATCCATCTTTGAAACCCCTCCCAGGCGGTATGCTTGGGCATTCTGTTTTAAGGGGGAAACATCAGATTCTCCAAAACTGCTTGCCAAACTTACCATCGAATTTTATATTAGGAGTCAGCAATAAAATTAAACAACAACTGTGTCTTTAGTTTCCTTTTTAAACAACCAAATCATAGAAAATCTGCAGAAACTCACGTCTGGTCCAACCCCCTCTCCTGGAGTATTGTCAGTCTATAGCGATTAATGATTGGCCCCAGTACTAGAGTGCTGCGTTCACAGCAGACTCGGCACGTGCGTCAAGCGCGAGTGATTTACATGTTGTCAATGTAAATGCGCGAATAGACATCCTGCGGCGCGATACGCGCGAACGATGCGAATGGCGCGCACCGCGATACGCGCAAGGCGAATTGAGCGTTTGCGCGTTTGACAAGCTTAACGAGTGTTTCGCGGGAATCTCTCGAGTTCGAAAATTTGAACTTCAGCGGACATTCGCGCCGCGTTAACCAATCAAAAGCTTGCTCTTGTGGGGGCGTGATTGTGACGTAGAAACTGTTGATGGTGTCCCGGGGGAAATCCTCCAGGCGACACCGACAGCAAGTCATCAAACTGGGCTTGGCTCAGTCAGAGGCACCGCTGAAAGCCTCCGTCATCCAGGTTCAGTTTCTGGAGGAGTTTATGAGCTCACAGAGCTGGATGCACCTCTGAAAGGATGCAGTGGACTCAGACAGGACCCTAAACGTATCGACGTTGTTTTTCAGTCTCCATAAAGCGCATTAACACTGTTATTTTCTTAATAAAATCCATGTTAGCCATTTAGCTATGAAGCTAAAGTCACCGGGCAGACAGAAGCCTTGCCCATCACGCGTATCCGCGTCTGTTTTGAAGTGAATTTGACACGCGATTGAAGCGGATTTGACGCGCGAATGAAGCGGGGGTTGACGCGCGAATGAAGCGAGTAAACTCAAATGTTCACGCGGGTATTTACGCGCGAATAGTGCAATTTATCCGCGCGTTCCGCGTCTGGTGTGAACACAGCAGAAGGCAGGCTTTTTTCGCCATATAGCGATTGATGATTGGCCCCCTTACTAGAAGGCGGGCTTTTTTCGCCATATAGCGATTGATGATTGGCCCCCGTACTAGAAGGCGGGCTTTATTCGCCATATAGCGATTGATGATTGGCTCCTGTACTAGAAGGTGGCCTTTTTTCCGCCATATAGCGATCGATGATTGGCTCCTGTACTAGTAGGCGGGGCTTTATTTGCCATATTGACCGTTGTGTATTCTATAGTCTTTGACCCGGAGGAAACCATGCCAATACAGGGAGAACATGTAAACTCCACACAGAAACTCCAACTAATTCAGCCGGCACTCGAACCAGTGAGCTTCTTTCTGTGAGGCGACAGTGCTAACCACTGAGCCACCATGCCACCCTTAAAGGAATCATTTAGTCCATGTATCAGACTAAATAATATATCGTATAAATAAATAATATATATAATACTAAATCATAAGTGGTGTAGGAGCGGTGGACATTTCAGGCATAGTCCCTTCTTTGGGTACTTGTAGACAGGAGTGCCACTAGCAGTTTTGGGCCCAATGAAAAAAGCAATTAGTGAAGACCTCTTAACTGAAAAGGGGGGAGGGAGTGAAAGTGAAGTGGATGTAGATGGTGGATGAAAGTAAAGACTGGCGCCTTCTTGTAGGAAGCATTTAAGAAACAGCTTTGTCCGTTCACCCGAGATTGCAGGAGCAGTGGCTCAGTCCTTTCTCCTGGAGATTTTAGTAATTGTTGAAAATAATTTATTCCACTTTCCCAGGGGCTGTAAGAGCCATAGAAATAGCTGGGGACGGATACTGCTGCAAGAACAGGAAACTCTTGATTGAGTGCTAATTCAGCAGCCACTATATTACATATTGTTCAAATTTCAGGCTTAGGCCTTGCTTTCTCTTGATACTTGCAGGAATTGTAAAAGAAACCATTCAGTCCACTTATCAAAAAGATTGAAGGAGTGGTGGGCATTTCAGGCTCACCTCTACCTCTTGTAGACATTTTTTAAGAGAGAATCTAGTCCCTTTGTCCAGAGATTGCTGGAGCGGTCCTTTCTCTTTGAGTCTGTAGGATTTGTTGAAAATAATTTAGTCCATTTACGAGGGACTCGGTTAGAAGATATAACCAGAAACTACATTTGTTTGTCCTCCATTTTAAAAATATGGAACGACCTGAAGTACTTTGGTGAAGGAACAAGTTTGAAAAAAGTAAACCTGAAAAATGGAAAAGGAAGGCAAGGGGCAAAACCTCTAAGTGTTCCCGCATTGATCAGATGTTGGAGCATCTAAATGCATATTTGGACAAAGGGATGGGACTGAGGCTACGTTTACACGACAACAATGTTTTCGGCTGGAAACATTGCTGTATAAATGGCCCCTGTGCAAGTGCCATGATGATGTGTGCAAGAAGTACAGAATAAAGCACTCAGGGATTGGACTGTGTGCCTTGCCGGAAGTTAAAATGGTTTATTGCACTATCAACCCTTAAACAACATAAAATAAGCTCTGCCGCATGGAAACATCTACAATATCGGAAATATAAGTCAATCTATCAAAAAAAGGCACATCCACACATTAGTTAATGCCTTAACTATAACATATCTCATAAAATACCATCGATGGCAAATATAATGACAAAATAAACAGATTCTGTGTAGAGCTGGATCAATCCTCCTTACCTTTCCCACAAGGAGTCACAACTCCCTCACACTATACACAACTCCCCCTGGAGGAAAGGAAGAGATATAACATCTTCTTATATATATATATATATATATATATATATATATATATATATATATATATATATATATATATATATATATATATATATATATATATATATATATATATACTTACTCCCAGGGCCATTTATATCAAAGTAATATTTAGCCGCACCATATTGGTGTTTTGTAACATCTAGTTTTCATGAGGTGGCTTTTTATAATGTTATATTAAACAATATAATTTTTTTTTATTTGGATTATGTTTATAAATTACTAAATTAGTATTACAGTTCACTTTTTCTGATTGTCACACACACACACACACACACACACACACATATATGTATGAATTTATATATATATATATATATATATATATATATATATATATATATATAAACTGTATGTATGTATATGTGTGTGTGTGTGTGTGTGTGTGTGTGTGTGTGTGTATATATATATATATATATATGTATATATATATATATATATATATATATATATATATATATATACATAATATATATTAATTCCGGTACTTTTATCACAAAGCAACATATTAAAAATTTGGTAGAGGCTGATATTAAAAGATTACAAAATGTGTTGAAAAAAGTTGTGGTAACTAGAAACTTTAGAAGTTAAATTGCTTTTTTCTTGGTTGGGCAGTTAAAAGGTTAATTAGCAAATATTGAAAAAATAACGCAAATATTACAGTTTAGTTCTTCAGGCATGCTTGTTTCTGATGGTGTTATCAAGCTGGCAACCTGTGAATGTGTAAAATTGGATGAGGAGGTGCCCTGTGAAAAAAAACCCTCTTCAATCTTTTGAATTTGGACTGTAACACCTAGTTCAACCACTAGGTGTCAATTCTACAACAACAGTTAAGCCAAATGCAACAAAAACTAACATTACTAAATATAATAGTAAATGCTTTTGTGAATCTGCAGTGTCTGTAAAGATGACTGAAGTTTCACTGCTTGCTAAGAAAACGGCTGTCTAAAATTGTTTTGTTGATTGAACTTTTCTACTTATCTTAACTTACATGAGTCAAATTGACTAAAACAATAAGCTAAACTTTGTATACCAAAAATATGTATTGAAACCTGATAAGCTGATTAAAAATAAAGTGACAAAAACATTTGTTGTCTTGACTTGTTGTCATGTAATTTCTTACAGTGCTTGTTGTTTGATTGACAGTTTCCAGCATAGCAGTAAAAACCAGGATGACGAGCACTGCCTCATAGCCAGATATGCCTCCCGATTGGCTGCTGATGAAGTTGCTGCGGTAAGACAGCCAATCAGAATGCTCGCTTCCACAATTTTACAATTCACTGGATATTAATGGTATAACAGTTCCCTAAATGGATTTTACATAAGTAACTGGTATTTAAATCACAATTTTTATAATTAGCTTTCTGAGTATTTAATAACCCCCATAATGCATTCAATATCTTTTACTATTTTTGCATTCCTGGCCTTTTTGGACAGAACAAATAATCAAATAAATACATAAATAAATTTTTACATTTTTAATTTTTTCAAAATAATTTTTTACAAAAGCCATATTGTATCAGGTCAACAACTTCTTATAAGAAAGGGAATACAAAGATATGCAAATACTTCTGTCTTGTATTCTATTTTGTTACTTCATTTGTCCCTTTTTATAAATAGAAAATTTAAGAAATTATTTGAAAGTTCAAATTACACATATATATATATTCATTCATTTTCTTTTCGGCTTAGTCTATTTATTAATCTCTGGTTGCTACAGCGGAATGAACTGCCAAACCATCTCTGGGAAATATATATATATATATATATATATATATATACTGTGTATATACTGTATGCACAGTTGAAGTCACATTTGAAGAATTATATATTTTATTTCTTTTAAAAAAAATTCCCAAATAATGTCTAACAGAGCAAGGAATTTTTCACAGTATGTCTGATAATATTTTTTCTTCTGGAGAAAGTCATATTTGTTTTATTTCGGCTAGAATAAAAGCAGTTTTTAATTTTTGAAACACCATTTTAAGGTCAGATTTGGCTTCAGATCTGACTAATCTAATGTATATGAACAAATATTATTTAGCGTCCTTTAGAAAATATTGATTTGCATGTGAGATTTGTGTAGGAAATATACAAAAATGTACATAAAATACAGAAATATACAAAATAAATATTTTTAAATGTGTATTTATATATGATTTGTGTATAGATTTGTACTATATAGTATGAGATATTTGTTCATATTTAAATATATATATATATTTAAATATGAACAAATATCTTATACTATATAGTAATGCATTTATTTATATACACAAAAATATAAACAGTACGCACAAATATATTTCGCAAATATGAACTTTTATTTTTTGGATGCAGTTAATGGGGATTAATTGTTTGACATCCAGTGAATAAGTAAATGAGCTGTTTCTCTGTGATCTGCCAACTGATCAGCAGAAGGGCAGAGTGCCGACAGACATCTCTCTCTGCTTGGACTCTAATAAACAGCAGCGACAACTCATTGCTGAGCTGGAAAACAAAAACAAGTGAGTTCGAGCCTGTTTGCTTTGCTGTTGCACACTGATTTGATGCAGAATTCATATTTAAATGAACAAAAAATATATTGTTTATTATTAGGGAGATTTTGCAAGAGATTCAGCGCCTGAGACAACAACATGAGGAAGCCTCTCAGCCTCCATTAGACAAGAACCAACAAAATCCAATGTTACTGGCTGAACTGAGATTGCTGAGGTAAACACACACACGGACACACACGTTTGTTTGTGTGAATTACGTAGGTGTCTATTGTTTTTATTCTGTACAAACTTTATTTTGTATTTTTTTTTTTTTTGAGAAATTGTTTTAACTTTTCTTGAAAGTCAAGTTTACATACAATAAGATTATTCTGCCTCTGAAAAAGCTCAGATGATGGTGTCGAGGTTTTGAAAGTTTCTGATTGGCTAATTGACAACATTTGAGTTAATTGGAGGCACAACTGTAGAATAGTATTCTAGGAAAACCTCAAACACACTGCTTCCTTGTGTGACAACATGGGGAAATCAACAAGCCAGAATCAACAACAAAGCCAGATCACAATTTGCTAAATTACTCTGGGAAAAAGACTAATGTTTGGAGACATGTCCTGTGGTCTGATGGAACTAAGATTGAACTATGTGGTCATAATGACCAGTGTTACATTTGGAGGACAAAGGGGAAAGCTTACAAGCCTAGGAGCACCATCCCATCTGTGAAGTATGGGGGCGGCAGCATCATGTTGTGGGGCTGTTTTGCTGCAGGAGGGACTGGTCCACTTCACAGCATAGATGGCATCATGAAGAAAGAACATTATGTAGAAATACTGAAGCAACATCTCAAGACATCAGCCAGGAAATTAAAACCTGGCCACAGTCAAGACCATGACCCTGAGCATACTGCCAAATTAGTTAAAATGTGCTTCAAGGACAACAGAGTGAATGTTTTAGAGTGGCCATCACAAAGCCCTAATCTCAATACTATAGAAAATTTGTAGGCAACGTTAAAAAAGCTTGTGCGAGCAAGACAGCCTACAAATCTGACTCAGTTACACTAATTCTGTCAGGAGGAATGGGTTAAAATACCTGAGAAGCTTGTGGAAGGAGACCCAAAACATTTGACCAAAGTTATACAGTTTAAAAGCAAAGCTAAAAAAAATACTAGGAAATATGTGTAAACTTTTGACTGACTAGAAATTCTCTAAAAAAACTATCCATCATTATTCTGGCATTTAGCAAATGTAAATCATTTAGGTAATCACAACGGACCTAAAATAGTAAACGTTTAGGATGATTTACCATCAGACATTTAAAAAAAAAAATGGGTATGTTCCTTTTTTTTTAAGTCTATGTAAATTTCTGGTTTCATCTGTATTTTACCACCTTCTTGTAATACCTGTGTCACATCAATGTCACACACACACACACACACACACACACACACACACACACACACGGGTTGTTTTTCATAGAATTTCAACAAGCATAATGTATTTATTATATGGGCGTCATCCCACCCCTACCCCTAAACCCAGCCCTCACAGCAAACCCAAAGCTAATTTTGAATGTAAAAGACTCCATTGATATGATTTTAAACAGCTTTAAAGTGGAACTATTGTGCAAAAATCACTTTTATAAGGGGTTTAAACACAGTTGTGCAGCAGCAGTGTGTGAATATAACCAGCCTCTAATGGTAAAAAATAATAATTTCTATTGTTTATAATCACACTTGATCAAAACAGTCTACAGAAACACTTTGATTGACATTCTCCATTTGTACATGTCATCAGAGGGGGAAAGCCCCGGCCATTAGTGATGATCTCTCTCTCAATAGCATAAGACGTTAGTCTTGTTTTGAATCTGCCACTATGCTGAGACACAGGCATTTGTAGCTCCTCCCTCTTTTAAAAAGAGCACAATCTCATTTGAATTTAAAGCGACAGTCACCAAAATGGCACAATTTGAATCAAAACCTATACAGGGTCCGTTTCAAAGAATTATAAAACATTATTTGTGTCTATTTTCAGCTGAAACTTCACACATACACACTCTAGGGACATCAGAGACTTATTTTACATCTTGTAAAAAGAGGCATAATAGGTTCCCATCAAATTACGAGGACACAAGACCTCTGCCTTTTTATTAACCACATCAACATTGTATACCTAGGTCATACCCATGTCATTATACAATCACTATGTGCGCATAAATCACATAAACTAGTTCACACACACACACATACACACACAGTTGTGAATTAGACACGAAACCCGATGGCTTGTGGTGAACAAGAGATGCTGATGGTTTAGATATAGACTCATTGAAAGTGAGTGTAACCTGATCACGGCTCTTCTCATCAATGAGTGAAAGCACTTTAAAAGCGTTTTGCAACACTGAAACTCCTTCCTCTCAGTGAACTTCCTTCAGTGTGCTGATTTGAATGGTCAACAGAGCCACGCAAACATATTTAAATATGCTCTAGTTTAACAATTTCTTGCTGCAACATGACATTTACAGTTATTAACACAGAAATTTTCTGGCATATTTTCAAACATTTAATAGTTCATTTCTGATGACTAATTTCTTTTGTGTCAATATTATAATATAATATTTTACTAGATACTTTGCAAGGAGCTAGTATTCGATGTAAAGTGCCATTTAAAGGCTTAACCAGGCGAATTTATGTTAAATTTGGCAAGATTCATTTAGGACAACAGAATTTAAACATATACAGTTGAAGTCTGAGTTATTTGTCCTCATGTGAGTTTTTCTTTCTCAAATATTTCCCAAATGATGTTTAACAGAGCAAGGAAACTTTCACAGTATTTCTTATAATATTTTTTTCGTCTCGAGAAAGTCCTATTTGTTTTATTTGGGCAAGAATAAAAGCAGCTTTGAATTTTTTTAAAACCATTTTAAGTGCAATATTATTAGCCCCCTATGAGCTAGATTTGTTTGATTGTCTACAGAACAAACCATCATTATACAATATTTGACTTGTCTATTTAACCTTAACCTGCCTAAATAACCTAGTTAAGCCTTTAAATGTCACTTTAAGCTGAATACTAGTATTTTGAAAAATATCTAGTCAAATATTGTTACAGTCACCAGCGATCTAACCTTCACTTTCACTCAGACTACAATTCGGCCAACAAATGAACTACAACTCCCTTAAAGCACCACACACACGCACCTGTTATAGTTCTCCATTGATTACACACACACACACAGAGAGAGACACACACACACACACACACAGCTGGAAGCTACTCAAGACTAATTACATGGACAATATAAACGGGACACAAACACACACACACAGACATTGCTGAGTCTTGTTGTTATCCTGTATACATTACATATCATTTACCTTGCCTTGTTATTCCTTGCCGTGTCTTAAACCCTTACTTTGTATATTGATGTTTGCTGTTACCGCCTGAATTGATCTCTTGCCTGCTTTTCAAATACTCTTTTGGGTTACCCTTCATGATACTGTCTGCTCCTGTGTTTGACCGTTGCCTGCCTGACCATTCTGACCGTATGTTACAATTATGCACCGTCATCATGGCGAAGATAAAATAAATCAGTTATTAGCAATGAGTTATTAAAACTATTATGGTTAGAAATGTGCCGAATATATAGTCTCTCTGTTAAGCAGATATTGGGAGGGCTAATAATTCTGACTTCAACTGTATTTCTCAAGGGGCTAATAATTTTGACCTTAAAATTGTTATTAAATTTATAAGAAATGCATTAATTCCAGTCAAACTGAATGGAATAAGACTTTCTCCATTAGAAAAAGTACAGAAAATACTAAAATAAAGGTCATTGCTCTCTTAAACATCACTCTGGAATACACACGTCACAGGACTAATCATTTTGACTTCCCCTCTATGTGTGTATGTGGTTGTGTTAGGCAGAGGAAGGAGGAGCTGGAGCAGAGGATGTCGGCCCTTCAGGAGAGCCGTCGAGAGCTCATGGTCCAGCTAGAGCAGCTCATGCTCCTCTTAAAGGTACAGCAGATCTTAAAGATACACAAATAATGACTGTTCAAATGTGGAGATGCACAAATCTCTGTTAATCAGCCCAACTGCTCCATCTACAGGAAGAAGAGCTAAGAAGAGCTGTAAGTCTCAGAGAATGAATAACAGAAACCGTGTGTATTAGTATACTTGATCTAACTGTATGTAGATTAACTGTATGCTGTAATTTTTCTACTTCCTAATATTGTGTCGGCTGTGCCTTTGTCTCTTGTGCCTTTGTGCCTTTCATTTAGTATTGTGCAAATTAAAATTAACATTTTATTTATTGAGAACACAAATAATGAAATGCAAGTCTCAGCTTTTGAGCCAACTTCTAAAACTTAAATAAATAAATAAATAAATAATATTTTTTTTAAATTGTAAAAAAATGAAAAGAAAAATTAGATTTTTGTTTTTGTATCAGAAAACATTAATATATAATTCATATCATATAATTTATATGACATTATAATATTATCAAATAAATATCTCATATAATTATTATATAATTAGTATTTATTATTATTTTTTTCAGTTTTTATTTTAAATTTATTTTTAATCATTTTGCTATGAGCTTTTAAAATATTTGTCACATTTTGGTTTTTCTTGTATGTTATTAATTGATGCTTTATTTATTTTTAATTATTAATGATGATTTTTTACATCTATTTCAGTGTTAGTAATTTTACTACTTCAACTTTATTATATTAATTATATAATATAATATAATATAATATAATATAATATAATATAATATAATATAATATAATTCAATATAATATAATATAATATAACATATAATATAATATAATATAATATAATATAATATAATATAATATAATATAATATAATTAAATATAATATAATATAATATAATATAATATAATATAATATAATATAATATAATATAATATAATATTATATTGAATTATATTATATTATATTATATTTAATTATATTATATTATATTATATGTTATATTATATTATATTATAATATTATATTATATTATATTGAATTATATTATATTATATTATATTATATTATATTATATTTAATTATATTATATTATATTATATTATATTATATGTTATATTATATTATATTATATTATATTATATTATATTATATTATATTATAATATATTATATTATATTATATTGAATTATATTATATTATATTATATAGAATTATATTATATTATATTATATTATATTATATGTTATATTATATTATATTATATTATATTGAATTATATGTTATATTTTATTATATTGAATTATATTATATTATATTATATTATATTATATTATATTATATTATATTATATTATATTATATGTTATATTATATTATATTATTATTATATTATATTATATTAAATTATATTATATTGTATTATATGTTATATTTTATTATATTGAATTATATTATATTATATTATATTATATTATTATTATATTATATTATATGTTATATTATATTATATTATATTGTATTGTATTATATGTTATATTTTATTATATTGAATTATATTACATTACATTATATTATATTATATTATATTATATTATATTATATTATATTATATTATATTATTCATTCAAAATCACCAATCCCATCACATAACTATTATTAATTTAAATATAATAAATTACTATTAAAATAAAACAACATGCTTATTCTGGTCTCTGTTTATTACAATATGTAAAAAAATAAAAGATCCCATTACAATTCATTATATTTTGAATGATTCAATTCTTCTTGCTGATAAAATGTGTGAAACCTAGTGATTGAAAATGACAATTAGTAAGTATTTTGTTGCTTCACAGTGATCCTTTTAATAATTTATTAAATTAATTTAAAATTACCTGGCTAGATTTATTTCATACAAAAGTATACAAATGAATTGTGTCCGTTTTATTTAGCAATAATCTCCTTTTGTTTCCCAGAACCAGGGTCCTGGCCCTTCCCCTCGCTCCTCCCCCAGTCACACCCTCAGCGCATCCGTCCAATCACTGTCCGGCAACTCCACGCCCATTCCTATGCCTGTCCAATCAACATCCGGCAACACCACACCCAGTCAGACCCCTCAGGACTCGCTGATGGGCCTTGGAGGAGAAGTGCAGCAGGCCTTCGCTCAGGGTAACACTTTCATTTAGTCACAGTAATAAAACACTTCAGGAGCTCTTGTAATCTTGTATCCAAAGTAAGTTCAACCTTTTATAATTGGCCAATTATAGCCTTTGGTTGGGATTGACCTGTTTTTCACATGAGATCCACCAATAGCAAAACCACAATCTAATTAACATCTTAATTCAATCTTATTCAATTTTCCAAAGAACGGAAATAGCAACAGTTTCATAATGACAGCACAACACTTATGAATACTACATCGCCACAGCTAAATGAACCGCCAAACTGTCCATGTTTTACACAGCGGAGACCCTTCCAGCCCAGTACTGGGAAACATCCAAACACACATTCACACACATACACTATGGTTAATTTAGTTTTTATTCAATTCACCTACAGTACAGCGCATGTCTTTGGACTGTGGGGAAAACCGGAGCACCAGGAGGAAACCCACGGGGAGAACATGCAAACTCCACACAGAAATGCCAATATTATATAACCAATATTACACTGTTCTACTTAAAAGTTTGGAATTTAAAAAAAAGTTATTTTTTATTATTTAAAAATATTAAAAGTTATTTTTAGTCTAATAAATAAAAAAGTATTAAAATTAGTGTTTGTATGTTTAAATACAGAAATAAATATTTAGAATTTGTATTTTTATTTATTTATTTATTATAATTATTATTATTTGATCTGTTAATATTTCTGTGTTTTTGTAACTGTATTAGAACTGTATCTGTTGAACATAAATACAAAAAGTCCACCAATCAGACAACTGCAGTGAGCAAATGGCACCATAATATATTTATAGCCCTGCACACTCCCAAATTAACTAAGCAAATGTGTCTCACTGCACTCTCAAAATATGTAAATAATGGTAAAGATATACAGTTGAATTTAAATAAAATGTTTATCCTGATTCATGGGATTGTAGTTCTTCTACTATATATATATATATATATATATATATATATATATATATATATATATATATATATATATATATGTATATATGTATATATATGTATATATATATATATATATATATAGTATTTTTATTTTTAAAAACTACTAAATTAAATACTTTATTTTTATAATTATTTTTATTTATTTTATTTAACATGTTTTTCTTATGCTCACCAAGGCTGTATTATTCGAAACAGGAAAAAAAATAAATAAATAATAAAAAAAAAAAAAAAAAATATATATATATATATATATATATATATATATATATATATATATATATATATATATATTTTTTTTTTTTATTATGAAAATGAAGTTATTATTTAATTATATTTAAATATATAAATGTTGAGACATCTATATAGTTGAATATATGAAATGTTAAAACATCTATATGGATTTTTCCCAGAGATGGGATGCAGCTGGAAGGGCATCCACTGCGTAAAAACGTGCTGGATAAGTTGGCGGTTCATTCCGCTGTGGTGACCCCAGATTAATAAAGGGACTAAGCTGACAAGAAAATGAATGAATGAATGTATTTTTTACTACTAATAAATATTCTATCATTTGATTTATTTGTGAAGGCTCTAGAAGGAACTTAAGAAGCGATCTCCTGGTAGCTGCAGACTCCATAACCAACACAATGTCCTCACTGGTCAAAGAACTCAACTCAGGTTGTACTCTGCTGTTATGTTTTTTCTGATCAATCTCATGTCCACAAACTGTGTGTACACTTTGTGAATCACTGCCATCTAAACTTCCTCTTCACAAATGTTTAGAGGCTGGAAATGAAAGCAACAGCATCTCAGACTTCATGTTTCCAGAGTCAGACGTTCGCCACACACGCAGCTCATCTAGATCAGGGTAACAGAAGCGAATCTCCTGCTGGTTTCTGATCTCCTGGACTGGTTTTGATGGTGTTTCTTATTTCACAGGGCAGCTAGTAAACTGGAGCCGGGAGATTTCTATGGCCACGAGGATCTGGAGAAGCAGCTGAAGATGGAGGAACGGCTCAGACACTCGCAGGAACCCGACAAGAACCTCCTGGTGAGGCATTACACAGATTCGGAAGCAAAAGCATCACATATTTAAAGGGACACTTCACCTAAAAATCATTTTGTGAGCTTTTTGTGTCTTCTGTTGAACACAAAGGAAGATATTCTGAAGAAGGTCTTTTTAAAAGCAGTATTTTGTTCCTACCAAGTCAAAATTATGAGCGCTCCTGTGAATGTTTTTTATTTTTTGAAGATTTGGCAAATGATCTTTAATAGAGCAAAGAATTTTTCACAGTATTTTCTATATATATTTTTTTCTGGAGAAAGTCTTATTTTTGTTATTTTGGCTAGAATAAAAGCAGTTTTTGATTTTTTTAAAAAACATTTTAAAGTCAATATTATTAGCCCGCTTAAACATCTGAACATTCTCCAGAATATCTTCCTTTTTGCTCAACAGAATAAAGAAAATAAAATATTCCGAACCACTTGAGTGCCAGTAAATGATGAGAAAATAAAAAATTTGGGTTAATTTGTCCCTTCATTATGTGTTTTAATGTTTTAGAGTTAGCTTGTGAAATGAATATGCAAATATAATTATTAACCATCTGGAAAAATGTCTAAATTAATCTTTTAGGGAAAAAAACCCCTAAAAAAACTATTTATAATCTTTGAACTATTATTCTGCTGTTAAAACTATAACTTCATCGTTTTTTTTTATTTTTTAAAATGTTATAGTTTTTATAACTTTATATGTAATTATTATTTTTATTACATCTTTTTACTTTTTAAATGTAATAACTTTTAATAGCCATTAATAACAAATACATTAAAATATACCAACAGACAATGCCCATTTTAACAGGGCTAAAAAGAAAATAATAATAATAATAATGAATAAATAAGTAAACAGACAAATTATAAAACAAATAAAGAGATAAGTTAATAAATTAACTAAATAATTATTATTATTACAATAATAGTACATTAGTAAATTAATAATAAAAATATTTTTTAAATTACTAAAAATAATAATAATAAATAAGGAAACAGAAAAAACTCTAAAATAAATAAATAGATTAATTCATTAGATAAATAATAATAATAATAATAATAATAATAATAATAATGTTACATTAGTAAATTAATAAAATAAATAAAAATATATAACATTTTTAAAATAATAATAATAATAAGTAAACAGACAAATTATCAAATAAATAGAGATAAGTTAATAAATTAAATAAATAATAATTATAATAATAATACATTAGTAAGTTAATTATAAAAATATTTAGAAACTACTAAAAATATTAATAAATAATAAAACAGAAAAAAACTCTAAAATAAATGAATAAATATATTAATTAATTAGATAAATAATATTATTATTACATTAGTAAATTAATAAAATAAATAACAATATATAATTTATAAAATAATAATAATAAAGTAAACTGACAAATTATCAAATAAATAAAGAGATAAATAAATAAATTAAATAATAATAATATAATAATAATTTATAATAATAATAAATTAATAAACTAGATAAATAATAAAAATAATGATACATTAGTAAATTAATAATAAAAAAATAATAATGTAAACAGAAAAATAAAAAAATAAAAAAATTAATAAATAGCATCATCAACAACAACAACAACAACAACAACAACAATAATAACAATACATTAGTAAATTTATTTAAAAAACAAATAATAATTCAGTTAAGACATGCCATCTCTTATATATTCAACATAAATATGTATAGCTTTTGGAAGTGGACATTATTGACAGATGCAATACTGAATAGCTTACAATCGACCAGTTATTTACTTTGGGTTGATTATCAAAAAATGTATCCTAAGCTTTATAAGAATAATGCTTGATTGGAATAAACATTAAAAGTTAAAAGTTTTTTAAGAATTGATAATATAATTACAGTATTTCTGTTTAAGTTAAATGCTGTTTTTTTTTTTTTTTTATTGTTAATTCATCGTCAATATTCAGCAAGAAATTCGGAATAAATGTACTATATTTTCCTCAAAAAATATTAAGCTAGATTATTTATTAGAATGATAGGGCAGCACGGTGGCTCGGTGGTTATTACTGTCGCCTCACAGGTCACTGGTTCGAGTCCCAGCTGGCCCAGTAGGCGTTTCTGTGTGGAGTTTGCATGTTCTCCCCTCCGGGTGCTCCGGTTTCCCCCACAGTCCAAACACATGCGCTATAGGTGAATTGGATGAACTAAATTGGCCGTAGTGTTTGAGTGTGTGAATGTGAGAGTGTATGGGTGTTTCCCAGTTATGGGTTGTGACTGGATCCGCTGCTTGAAACAAATGCTGGAATAGTTGGCGGGTTATTCCGCTGTGGCGACCCCAGATAAAGGGACTAAGCCAAATGAAAATAAATGAATGACTTTCAAAAGGAGTACTTTTTAAAATATGTTCACAGTTGTGCTAGATTGCAATGATATTTAGCTATATTCCTGTTATTACTGTATGTTTGATCAAATAAATGCAGCTTAATGAGCAAAATAGACCTTTTTTTCAAAACTTTTCAGAAATCCCACTTTTAAACAGTTGTGTAATTCGCCAGCATTAATCTAACCTCAGCTTTAATTATAATATATGTGGTTCATATTTCAGATGTAAAAGCCAAATCATAAATAATGTCTCGTATGTTTCTGTATTCACATCCACATTGCTGTGTGCCCCAAAGCCATTTCTGAGCAGCAAATTTCAGATGGATGTTCTGGGAAAAATGCCAACGGTGCGTCAGGAGTGTCTGCTACATCATACATCACATTTGATTCCTTTTTAATTGCTGTAGAAATGAGATGAAATAGAAATGAAATATCCATTAAACCAAATGGATACTTCATTGTAATGAACATTTCCCCAGGCTGCTTCAGGGCAAGCACCTGTTTCTGAGCGTCGAGATGATGTTCATTTTAAAAGCGTGTCTGGATGAGATTGGCCACCGATATTACCAGGTGTATTGTGATCCTGTAGCCTTGTGAATATATAGGAACACTTTCCGCTTCCACAAAGAACCTTTCAGTGTACAACTCTAAAGGGAACCATTTTTTGGTTAGCTTGAAGAACTCCTGTCTCTGCACTGTAAAACATGCAGGGTTCCACACAATTCATTCATGTTGTCTCAACACAAATTGACAACAAATTAACAAATTTATGTGGATTGAACATAAAAAATGTAGTTTTTCTAATGAAATCTCAAGAATTGAGTTGATTCAGCTTATTTTAAATAAGTATTTTGAACGAGCTAAAATTATATTTTGTATGAGTGTGTTGCTCTGCAAGGGAAGCAGTGGCGCAGTAGGTAGTGCTGTCGCCTCACAGCAAGAAGGTCGCTGGTTCGAGCCTCGGCTCAGTTGGCGTTTCTGTGTGGAGTTTGCATGTTCTCCCTGCGTTTGCGTGAGTTTCCTCCGGGTGCTCCGGTTTCCCCCACAGTCCGAAGACATGCGGTACAGGTGAATTGGGTAGGCCAAATTGTCCGAGTGTATGTGTGTGTGGATGTTTCCCAGAGATGGGTTGCAGCTGGAAGGGCATCCGCTGCGTAAAAACTTGCTGGATAAGTTGGTGGTTCATTCTGTTGTGGCAACCCCGGATTAATAAAGGGATTAAGCCGACAAGAAAATGAATGAATGCATGTGTTGCTCTGCAGTAGCGCATGCGAAACGCTAGCTAGCATTAGGGTTTCTATGTTCCTCAGTGTAGAGTTTCTTCTTTACATGATAAGTCAGGTGAACTGCTAGGGGCCCCCAGAGCTATTATTATGGGGCTCAACTTGCGAGAATCCCCCACCACACCCCCCCTCTTCACTTTTGTCCATGACCACACAACTCCACCCCCTGCTATTTATGTGAATGAATGGCGGAAGAAAGTAGTTCCTCTTACAAAATTGATTGGTTTTTAGACTCTCCGTGTTTGATTTTCTTTTTTATATGCACAATAATGCCGTTGAACTGTAGTATAAACGCAATATTACACTCCTAGCAGAGTGATGCCCTTCAAGCTGCAACTCAGTACTGGGAAACACCCATACGCTCTCTCACACAAACTACGGCCAATTTAGTTTATCCAATTCACCTATAGCGCATGTGTTTGGACTGTGGGGGAGCACCCAGAGGAAACCCACGCCAACACGGAGAGAACATGCAAACTCCACACAGAAATGACAACTGGCCCACACGGTACTCAAACCAGCAACCTTCTTGCTGTAAGGCGACAGTGCTAACCACTGAGCCAACCACCATGCCACCCCCTCAAATATTACCTAAAGCAAGTGTATGAGTTTTAAACTTTGCCAAATTCTGTTTTTTTAATTCTGTTTTCTCCAGGTGACTTTACAAGAATAGCTGCGCTTTAATAAGCAGTGGTGAGCATTCTTCAATTATTTTGTTCTGTGGCAGCTGAATCCCAGCAGTGTTTGATGGTTTTGTCTGTGTGTGTTTTTCCTCATGACAGGAGGCTCTAAAGCACTGTGCAACCAGCCCAAACACACAACACTTCTGAAAAGCATCAACAATACCCAATCTATCGATATCCAAATCTATTTTTAGAATCGACTAAACGTTTTAAGATAAAACTGTGAAGCGACTTTGGATATGACAACTAGTGGAACTGTCTACAACACCGCCAGTGCCATAAATACAGTGATTATGAAATTATTTCATTGATGTTACTGCGTTCGTTCGTTCGCTTTTGGTTTGGTTTCCGTGTGTAAATGTTTAAAACCTGTACTGTATTTAAATATCGTTGCAACATAGGCCTATTCTGAAAACGTAGCCCTATATACATTTCTGGAGATTGCGAATTATGTAGCCAGAGGAACATATGGCTGCATTTCGTCTTTAAAACGAACACTATGGGGCAGTATGACGCCGTTCCTTTTCACGCTGACCACCTGATCACTTTCCTCAGTATGGACGGCTTTCCTGCTGTTAACAGTTTGTCCAGTTTCCAGCCATGTACATCGGCAGATTTGAGACACAGAGTGAAGTTGACTGCGACGACGGGGTTTGAGTCTGCCGACGAACGGTTCCAGAAAGCAGGTAGGACTAAAATAAAAGCCAAAAAAATAAACAATTAAATAACAGAGTTAGAATGTGGTAAAATCTGAAAATGTGGTAAAAATCGTGAGGGCTTTTCTTTTTCTGGATTGTTTTTTTTTTTTAACTGTCGGTTGGGTTTAGGGAAGTGGGTAATCAGGTCAATCGGAGCTTTTGAAAACACTAATGGTTGGGTTTAGTCAGTCAGTCAGTCAGTCAGTCGACAGCGGCCTCTGCTGGATTTATAGGAGAACAGCAGACGCTTATGGCACTCGCGAGAGAAATTTGAGATCTGAAAAAGCGTACACAGCGGCCTCTGGTGGATTCGTAAAAACATTAAACTGCAAACAACATAGCTCCTGGGACATAATTGGCGCTCTCCAGAAATGTATGCAAGGGTAACTTATCAGAATGAGCCAGGGTTGTATCTGTCGGGCTAATGTGGGGTGACGTTTAATGAAGCTGCTATCTTTATCAACGTCTTTTCTTGTACATTAAGAGCAGAATAGCTGGACCGCACGGTCTTTTAAAGCATAAAAAAGTAGGATTATGTCGTAGCGTCAGTTTTTCTGAAATCATTTAAAAATTTTGTCATAGTCTTTGATACACAAATACACTGCCTTAGCTTATCAGATTCATTTCTGTTCCCAGTAGGTGTGTATCTCATTTCAGTTTTTACATTTTTTAAAAGACATTTTAATTAATAAGAAGAGTTCAGAAGCAGGTGAACGTGATGAATTCATCATTAGGTCACATTATGTTTTTCGTGAAAAAAAAAGACGTATTTTAAAGGGGACCTATTGTGCAAAAATCACTTTTATAAGGAGATTAAACACAGTTGTGTGAATATAACCAGCTTCAAAACGTAAAGAATTATTAATTATTTTTTTTTCCATCACACTTGATATAAGCAGTCTGCAGAAACACTTCGATTGACATTCTCCCTTTATACCTGTCATCAGAGGGGGAAAGCCCCGCCCACTAGTGATGATCTCTCCCTTATTAGCATAGGATGTTAGTTTAGTTTTGGGCTGTTTCTCAATACAAAGTATGTAAAGTTCAGACTTGCGTCCTTGGAAGTTCAGACTTGCCAAGTTCAGACTTAAAAAACGAACTCCCGAAGACGCGAGGACACAAGTCGGATACTTTTTCAAATGGAACGGCAGTGTACATTATAATGTCTCTTACTGTACCTCACCATGGAATCATCAGTTTCACTGTACATTAAAAATAAAATGATTTAATTATTTAAAGCACGGCCTTATAATTAATATTATATTAATATTATAAATCTACATTTTTGATTTAACAAAATGTTAACATAAATGACCAAAAATGTGAAGTGAAATGGGTTATTATACACAGACACGTGTCTTTGAGGGCGAGGCAGTGGCGCAGTAGGTAGTGCTGTCACCTCACAGCAAGAAGGTCGCTGGTTTGAACCTCGGCTCAGTTGGCATTTCTGTGTGGAGTTTGCATGTTCTCCCTGCCTTCGCGTGGGTTTCCTCCGGGTGCCCCGGTTTCCCCCACTGTCTAAAGACATGCGGTACAGTTGAATTGGGTAGGCTAAAATTGTCCGTAGTGTATGAGTGTGTGTGTGGATGTTCCCCAGAGATGGGTTGCGGCTGGAACTTGCTGGATAAGTTGGCGGTTCATTCCGCTGTGGCGACCCTGGATTAATAAAGGGACTAAGCCGACAAGAAAATGAATGAATGAACGTGTCTTTGATTATCAGATTTTATAAACTACAATGGACATTATACAAGTTTAAAGTACAAGACGTACACAATGAGAAATAAAGGTAAAAGTTAAGCAATTTGGAAAACAGACAAACCTCATACAACACGATAACATAATTAAAGACAATTATAAAAGATAACACTGACAAAATAATACACTTGAGAACAAATAATAGATTTATAAGACCAAAAGATGTCCGTTAGATATGCACAAGATGTATTAAATGTCATGTTAACTACAATGGATGGACAGATGAAATGGATGGACTGGCCGATGTAAAGCTGCTCTCGGCGGGGGAGCTGATGACGAAGCTCAGAGTCCGCATAAGCTGAGGCACATCACCAAAGATGTGCTAACTCTCTAAATAAACTACAGATTTGAGTTTAAAACAGCTACATTCTCACCTGAAAACTCTTAAAACTTACATTTGTAACACAACAGAGGAGTATTTTTAAAACCGCGCGGGTTTTCTCCTCCGCCATTAGCTTTTTCTGGTTACGCTGCAATGCATTCTGGGATAGCTGTGCTTTGTAAGTTCGCACAAATCACCTCGCAAAGCATCCTTGGCAAAAGGGGCGGAGCAAGTACACATCCAGGAATTTTATCCGTACATGGCAAGATGTGAACTTTGAATTGGAACAGTACTTCGGCGACAGTTGATGACGTTTTAGGAGGACACCAGAATGCAAATACAGACAAGAACACATATTGAGAAACAGCCTTGGAATCTGCCACTATGCTGAGACACAGGCATTTGTAGCTCCGCCCTCTTTTGAAAAGAGCACAATTTCATTTGAATTTAAAGCGACAACGACCAAAACGGCTCTATTAGAATCAAATCCTAAAAGGGGCAGCTTCAATTATTTGTTTGTATTTTCAGCTGAAACTTCACACACACACACACACACACACACACACACACACACACACACACACTCTAGGGAGATCAGAGACTTATTTTGCATCTTGTAAAAAGAGGCATAATAGGTTCCCATCAAATTACGAGGACACAAGACCTCTGCCTTTTTATAAACCACATCAACATTGGATACCTAGGTCATACCCATGTCATTATCCAAAGAATATGTGTGCATAAATCACATAAACTAGTTCACACACACACACACACACACACACAAGGGCATAATAGGTCCCCTTTAAGATCAATTAATAATCCCGACATGTATTTTTCATGCTAATTAAGCACAACATTACAGTGTTTTTGATTTAAATCAGCCTAAATTGAAAGGAACAGATACACGCATGATGTTTGTACATCTTAGCATTTTAATATAGATTTTATAATATGTGAATGGAATTGTTTTGCATCACAACAACAAATGCACTGCAAAAAAACAGACAGTAATAGCCCTAAACTACGCTTTATTCTCTTTATGCAAAATAAATCATGTTTATAGCTTTCAGCTAAATTCTGTCTTTATTATTATTATTTGGACAGATTTGATGAGAATTACTCAAACCTTTGTACTTCTGAAACTCCAAAGGGCACTCGGTATATTTACCACACTCTTTTATTTAACTTGCAAAGTTTTAAATATTTCAGGAAAAGCTTTTGAGGCAAAAAACACAACACAAGTCTGAATGTGCTGTTAAGATGCCTTGCGGAAAAATAGCATATTTTGGTGTATGATATGTGTTGATCTAGAAGATTCTAATGATCATGCTTGAATTGGTTTTGTTAGTGAATATGAATTCCTCGTGAAGTCGTCTCTCTGGTAGACATGTAAAGGATGAGCGGTTTGGCTTTGACCGTCTCCAGACTCTTTCATTGATGTTTGTTTTTTCTTTTCCTGTAATATGCTACTCTCACACTGCAGCGCTCACACACACACTCTTCTTATTGTTTACGCAAAGGCAAAACAAAAACAACATCTGCACCCTGCTGCCAACCATTGCACTTTTCTGTCGTTTTGCATGGTACTAAATAAAAAATAAAAACATTATGTTGTACAAGTAACATCAAGTGTTCGTACTTTAATGTTATTTAATAAAATCTGAGCTGTCTGTGTCTGTATTTTGCTCGAGCTTATTACAAAAGATTTTTAAAATCTTGATGCAATATACATAACTAGCCACTAGATGTAAGTGTTGAGCGTGTTTTTGATCATTGGATTTTACTAGAACACAGTATATTGTAATGGTTGTAATAAGGTCAATACATGCTTAACACAAATATCATGTTGATTAATATTTTTTTATTATTAATACAAATACAAATTGGCCTTATATATATTCAGGCATTTTCTAACCTATTTTTGACTGTTATTGAATTTTATTAATATTTGTTTCGTTAATAATACTGAATATTAATAATGTCATTATTCATTATATAAATTATCATTACTAAAAATACAAATATTAGTTATTAAAAATAGTAATTATATTTTAAGATATTTGTTTTTAATATATATTTGTGTTTCAGATTTTGTAGTTTTTTATTTTTTAGTTTAGAAATGACAAAAACATGACTTTATCAAAAATACAAAATATAACTAATAAAATATAATAACAGTTTATTTATTTATTTAGCTAAAAACACCTAATATATATTTTTTGCACAATTGTTTTGTTAAATTGTATTTATTAATAACTAATCATGCGTTTCATTTTAGCATTTCTGATATAGGCAGACTATTATTTTTTATTCATATTTATTTTGTTAATAATATTGATTATTCAGCTGCTTTAGGCAGTGTGCGAATTATACATTGACAACTGGGGGGGTCAACTTTTTCAGTAGTAGTTTGGTAATACATGCTTCAGTAAATCAAATGTATGAATTTATTTCAATTACATTTCATTTATTAGTAAAATGTACATGTTTTCAGCGAAGCAGTGGCGCAGTAGGTAGTGCTGTC